TTTTTTCTTTTATTACTTTCTCTTAATATATCTTTCTTTATGTATATTTCTCGATACTCTCTCATTCTTCTTCTCTGTACATCTCTCTATATACTTTCTATATTTGTATATTTATCTCACTTCCTGTATATCTTTCTCTTTATTTTATTTATATCTATACATCTCCTTTTCTCTTTTATATATATACTATATATATCTCTCTCTTTATATACTCGCAAAAATATTTTTCAGAACAAAACAAAATTTTTTGATAAAATTATTTTATTTAATTAATATACATATAATTATAACAAAACCTTAAAAAAATTTTTAGGCCGAAAACCCGTTTTTGCTGTGGGGGCCCCATATATATACTCTCCATTTATTTCGCATATATTCTATCTCTCTTTCAATTTCTGTATATCTTCCTTTATATCTCTTTCTCACTTTATCCTATCTTTCTCGCTTTTTATATATCTCATCTTTCTCTTTCTCTTTATACATACATATATATATCTCTCTTTTTTTCCTCTCTATAACTCTATTTATCTATCCTTCTCACTCCATATCCTATCTCTCTTTCTCTCCCTTTATATATTTCTCTTTATTTTGCTCTGTATATTTATGTACTTTCTTTTAAATATCCCTCTCTATATATATTTATCTATACTCTCTCCTCTATATGCTTTCTCTCTCTTTTTATATTATTTCTCTCAAGTTAACGAAGGTGAGTATTTTTATTCACTGAGTTCATATTGATTGTTCTTTATCATATATATCTGCCGTTACTCGCATATTCAGCTAGAAAATGAAAGCACATCGTGGCCACTATTAAATCAGTGAACGTTCTTTTCTAGTTTCTTATATAGTATCTGGGAGAATTGAAAGCACATCGTGGCCCTATAATAGCTGGTTACTATTATAGTGAACGTTCTTCTCTCGGTCTTATAGTTAATGGATATGTGCATAGGATATATATTAATAATTATTGAAGATATAGATTTTCTTTAATTTGATAAATTATAATGATTTGTACTCATTTTCCATTTTTTTTTTTTTAGTGAAATGAAGGATGTAAATCTTCAAAAAAAAGGAGAGTATTTTATTTACTTGGTTCATATTGATTGAGTGCTTGGTAAAGGAGGTTCTATTTTTCAGCTGCATCATATTATATGCATTGCTTTGCATTATTTTACATTATTTAACCTTTATTTTGTGTTATATTCATTCGTTTAGGTTCAGATTCAGATTCAGAAATGGTAGGCTCAGGTTCAGGAGTTGATTGAGCTAAACACATCTAGTCAAAATAGAAAAAAAAACAAATACTATGATTAAAAATAAGGTAAAATTCTTTTTCCTCATAAAATTAAATGACATAATATTTATTTTCGTTTGTGATTTTTTGTTTCGTTAATAAATCTTTTCAATTACTTGTACAAATGAATTTTAAACCAATGCTATTTTGTAAGAAATTTTTTTTTTAAAAAAAAACAAAATATGATTTTTTAAAAAGGAAGATAGCCAAGTGATCGAACAGACTTTTTATACTAAAGAGGAGAGGCAATGATCTAAAAAGTCAAAAAAATATATTGGAAACAACCTTAGCAAATAAAGTTATAATCAATTGATGATTATTCTTAAATAGTTGATATATCAACATCTTTATATAAACTGTGCTACAAGAAAAAAGACCAACATATAAATTTTAACAATGCCAAAGTATTACAGGAAGTTATCTAAATTCAAATATAATTTGAACAATGGCAAAGTGTCACAGGACAGAATTCTATCTTTTTTCAGTATTTTTTAATAATGAATAGTATAATCTTTTTTAAGTATTTTAATAAAGAGCATAATTGGCCCATGATACTAATGTAATTTCACGAATTAGGATATTATAATAATGACAATGATCATAATAATCTAAATTCAGACACTAGGCTGTGGTGTTGATCACTAGTGGTGCGATTTAGTAACGTCGATTATTATTATTATTATTATTTTAATTATTATTATTTTTATTATTATCTCCATTATTATAATTGTTGTTGTAATGTTGTCACTATTTGTAGAAATCAATCGAGAAAAAGAAATAGGTTATTATTATTATATAAATAATAATAAGTATATTAATAATAAATTATTAAATAATTAAATAATATACTATCTCTAAATCCTTTACAAGAAATATAATACGAATAAATAATCATCGAATAATTAGATGGTTCGGATGGAATAAGATTTCGAGCATGAAATTCAAGTATTTGTTCCAATATCCTTTCGAAAATCTAAAAATTGATATTGTTGAAGTTTTATACTTTGTTTCCTTTCACATAATTCTTTTATGAACGGACGAAAATTTGCTTGCTATTTGAATATTAAAATAATTCTCATCATCATTATTATTATCATTTTTATTGTTATTATTATTTTTATTGTTATTATTATTATTATTACTAATTCTCATTAACTATGTACTTACGGTTGTAGATCTGGGATTTGTCATCATTGCTTTATATGCTTTACCAAACATGTCTATTTTAAATACATTACTGAAAATCATTGAACAGACCTTCCAGACTTTAATATTTTTTTTAATAAAACATCGTATAATATTGTTGTTTACATTTATGCTGTACATTCTACTAACCTTTATACTTTAATTTTAAATTAAAGATAAAAATTACATGCTCATCCTTAAATGATTCCAAAGCAAAGTGTACAAAATTTAATTACATAAAAATGTTGTTGAGAAATCAAATAGAGAGTTGCACGTCTACAATAACCAATTAAATTTCTTGGTTTATAATCTTGCGATGAGATTATTGGGTTACTGGTGTGGAGTAAGGTGGAAATATCGTTTAATTTGCTATATTTAATTAGAAATTAAAATATAATAAATTTAATATAAAAAGAAATAATAATAATGAATAAAATAATAGATAATAATAATTAAATAAATAAGTAAATAAATAATAAAAATTAATAAAATTAAATAAAATAAATAAAATTAAATTAAATAAATAAAATTAAATAAAAATAAAATAATTAATAATAAAAATACTCACTAAAAGCTGCTCGGCCCAAATAAATTCTTAGCTGCTTTCTCATATTTATTTTTTTTTTATAATTGTTCACCATGAAGTAATAAACTTAAAGGAGTTTCTAATAATAATAAGAATTAAACATATTGT